CCACCCCCACCCCCACCCCGGGGTCGCCTCACTCCCTCCTGAGTCCTCAAATTCCCTGCCTGGCTCACTCCTCCTGGACTCCCTGGACTCCCGAAGGTCTGTATCCCGCCCGGTGCCCCCTGTGCCCCTCAGTGCCCACTAGCTTGACCTGACTCCCAGTGGGCCGCCTCCCTGGGCAGCTGGACTGGGCAGTGCAGGTGGTGAGGGCTGTTCAGGGCCATCCTGAGGCTGTCACCCCAGAGCACCCCGGGAAGCTGTTCATGGCTGCCAGTCAGCGAGGCGGGCCCGTAGGAGGCACACACCTGTCCGCCAGTCGGGCAGTCTCCGGGACACTTTACATTTTTGACTCGACATGAGGGGGACCCGGTGAACCCGAAATTTATTGATAAAAACTTGTGCATTTGTTCTCACATGTCTAAACTTCAGCCCCCCTCAGGGTCCTCTCCGGTGGATGCAGTGCACCTATTGAGACGCTTTTCCCACGGCTCAAGAGTTTTTGAACCTGTCTGTGTTGATGCCTTTGAGCGCTTCCGCTGTTTTTTGTTTCACACCTTCCACATTGCAACACGTGTCCCTTCGAGGACTTTTTTCACTGAGTAAACCAGAAAAAGTTGCTCAGGATGGGATCCGGGGAATGGCGGGGGGGGCACGGGGGTCGCGCCGTGTTTGGTCAAAAACTGCCGAACACTCAGCGTGGCGTGGGCAGGGGGCTGTCGTGGTGGGAGAACCAGTCACCTGTCTGCCACAGCTTTTCGGAGTGACAAGGGGCCCACCCTCCAGATGGTAATTCTGGTTTCTCTGGGTCCCCCCTCGTCTTTGAGCCCTTCTAAAATTATCCAGACAGCACTGTCCTCTCGCAGCACGGACGAGGGCTCCCCTTCCTGGCATGACCAGCATGAACGGCCACCCCAGCAAAGCCTCTGTGAGCAGAAACTCAAGATGCATGGACACAGCCTCTCCCAGAGGGCGGGAGAGGCTCTGGGGCGCAGGCTCCCCCACTCGAAGGCTGTCCATCGCCCAGCCTCCAGCCAGAGAAAGGAGGGGCCGGGCTCCATCCGGGCCTCTCAGGTGTTCTTGGGGAGCTCGGAGGGCTGTGCAAAGCTGGGCTTCTAATTCCTGGCCCCCATGGTTGTGGCCCCGTGGTGCAGAGGCTGGACAGGAAGGAGTGGAAATTCCAGGGGGCCGTCGCCGTGGATCAGCTGCTCTCACCCACCTGGCCCTCCCTTCCCGGTCACTTTCCACAGGGCTGGCAGAGAGCTCCACCCGTGAACCCTTGTCCTCGGGGGGTGTTTGCTGCAGGCCTGGGGACACACCCCTGGGATGGGCAGACGGCCCCTTGGCATCGGACATCCTACGAATTCCACGTGGAAGGGCCGGGGGCATCAGGATCTTCTTACCCGCAGGATGGCGGCCCCATGCGGGGACGTGAGGGTCCCCTCCGGTGTCGGGCGTCGAGGCCGGCCAGGGTCCCCCTTCCCACTGGGTGCTACAGAACGCTCCAGGAGCACACTCCGGGACACACCGGCCATCTCGCCACGGGTGAGCCCCCGGCCGGCCCCAGCTCTGCAGAGCCCAGCCCTGGCCCGGTGGGGAGCACAGACGTGCAGGGGGCAGGTGGGGTCTCCCAGACCCTAGCTGAGCTGGCCTTGTGGGGCGGGGGTGGGGGAGAAGGCAGGCCCGCCCGCGCCGTCTGACATCACGTCAGGGCCCCAGCATCCACGGAGGCCAGGACAATCAAAGCCAGATGTGGAACAGCACGGACGCCCGGCATTTTGATGAGGAAAAGCCTTATTTACAGAGAAATAACGAAGAGGTTTGGGGGTTGGTGCTGAAGCGTCCCTCCTGGGACTGAGTGGCACCCACGTGCACCGTGGGAAGCCAGGTTGCACGGACGTGGCGCAGCCTGGTCCTGTGGGTGCAGCTCCTGCTGGGCTGAGCTGGTGGGAATCTTGAAGGGGCCCCTGGATGCCACGTCTCTCTCACGGCGTTGCAGGATGCAGGAGCAGCTAGGACACGGGGGTCCCCTTGCGGCCGGATGCTCCCACCCACGTGCGTCTCCCAAGGAGGGCCGAGGCAGGCTGGGTGGAAAAGCAGTGAGAGACTGATTCTTTGCCCAGAACTCAGTCGGTGGCAAAGATGAGACAGGCACCCGCATGCACAGCAGAGGGGGCATGGCGCAGCCCCTGCCACCATGTGCAGGGACAGTGCATGCGGCGTGCTCGCTCATGGAGCCCGATGGCACAGAACTGACCACACAGGCTCTACCAAGGGCGAGGAGCTGGGGCGGAGGAGCGGGCCGTGGGAGCAGCCTTGGGGAAGGAGGACAGAGAGGCTGAGACGGGAGAGGGTGACAGCCTTGCTGACATGGAAGCCCCCTGACCCACTGCTCGAGTGCCAGTCTGGGCCAAGCGCCCAGGGCCCCACAGGAACAGCCTGGGGCCTGGCCTGAGGCCCAACAGCCCATCTGTGTCCACTCACACCCGGTCTCAGGGTTTCCCCGGGTGTAGGAAGAAGCCCAGGTAACACTCCCTCATGGGTGCCCCATCTGGGCCTCGGCAGTGGGCACCGTATGGGCCTCTGGGCCTCTCCACCATCACCAGTCCCTTTCAGGGACTGAGAAAACCCTTCACCGGCGAGGCCACAGCAGCCTCACACGAACACCCCACCAGGAAGGCACGTCCACACGCCATGTGCACATCCTGTTCACAGCAGCCACAAGGCGGGCGCTACCATGTCCACAGATAGACGCGGGATAAGCAAAGTGTGGCCCACCCACACAGTCTGAGTGTCTCTCAGCCTCAACAAGATAGGAGATTCTGACACACACGACCACGAGGACAGACCCTGAGACACCGAGGACACCAGTCAGTCACAGAAGGACCAGCCCCGAGGAATCCCATGTCTCCGAAACAGGCAAATCCACAGAAACAGATCATGGTCACCTGGGGCCGGGCTGTCCGTGAGAGCTGCAGCCCAAGGTGCAGGGCGGCCTTTCTTGGGGTGAAAATGTTCCAGCACCACGCACAGCGATGTGGACACACAGCTCCGGGAACATACTGGATGCCGCTGAGCTACACTGGAAACGGGTGGGGCGGGCGGCATGTAAACCGCATTCCAATAAGCTGTTTAAATGCAGAAAAGAACATCCCCGGGGCCAGACATGGTGTGAGCGCGTGAGGCAATCACTCCGCCACGGGCCGGGGGTTCAGTCCCCGCTCTGGGGGCCCTCGGCCAGGCCACCACCAAGAGCACTGTTCAAGCGCTGAGGAGGCCGGGAGCTAGCTCTCCTCCGCTGGGGCCACCAGTTATCCCTGCATTCACTTGTCCACCCACTCATTCCCTGACACAGCTCGCAACCGCATGGCTGTCGGGGACGAGGGAGCCCCAGCCCGTGCCACTCCAGAGCTCCCTGTGAGCCTCACTTCTCCAGCCTCACCTGTTCTAGGCCCTGGGTGGGACGGGGGGGCCCGTGCCCCAGGCCTGTGTCCTCTGCTGGGGTGGGGGGCTGTGGCAAGAGAGCTGCCATGGAGGATGGGGAGCCCCCGCAACAACGGCCATGCATGCGACTCACGCCGGGAACTCGTGGCAGAGGGGCCTGGGTGGCGGGATGGCGGGCCCTGGGTCCCTCGGGCCCAGCAGCAGGCCTCGGGGAGGGCAGCCCTAAGTGGGGAGCACTGGGCCACGCCTTTGCTCCAACCCCCGTCCCGGGGCCCACTCCTGCTCCCGGCAAGGCCGGGTGCCAGGGGGCTGGCCCTTGACACCCAGGCTGGCAGGTCTGGGCTGCCTCCCGGTCTGGGCCCTCTCGCGGGTGGACAGGCTGTTTGGTGGCATGAGGGTCGCGCCGAGGCTGGGGCCCCTGGGAGACCCTCTCTAGTGGCACACAGGAGCCTGGTAGGGACAGCAGTCACCGTGGCGCCTGGAGGAGGGGAGCAGCCCCCGGCTGCGACCCACCTCCTGAATCTCTGAGCACCCAACCCACTCCATGGCCCTTCCCGTGGCCTCCTGCCCACCACGCCGGGAAAAGCCCAGGCCAGCGCAGCTCCATGGGCTCGGAGTGCAGGGTTCCCAGGGGGCTGAGTCCGTGCGCCTCCACGGCACGAGGTCTGCGGGGGACCCCGAGTGACCAGGGCGCGTTGTCCTGTGGCTCGGACAGATAGCAGGGCCCATGGCTCCGTTCCGACTCAGAGCACCATGACAAGTCGACAGGGTGACGCAGAGGGGCAGTGTGCAAATCAACTCCGCAGAGAACGGGGCTCTTCAAGGGACACTTCAAGGGACATGCTGGCCTTGCGCCCCAGGCGGCCGCGTTTTCTCCCTCCCAGTGCTCCCCAGGACCGGCCAGGCTGTGAGCCCGAGGGGGGCTCTGCCCTCCGCCATCTCTGTGCCGGGGCTGCAGGCCACCCACAGGCAGACGTGCAGCAGGCGCCCGACACCCCAGCCCACGCCCACCCCAGGCGACAGGGCTCCACTCCAAGGCGCCGGGCGCTGGGAAGACGGGCACGGCAGCCCCCGGCCCCTCCTCCTCCCGGCAGAGGCCTGTGGGGGACGTGGGGCCGCGGCGGGGACAGCCAGGCCGGGGCGGCAGTGATGAAGTGTGCCCGGTGCCCTCGCGGCGGGGCGGACGCGCGGGTGCGGGCTGGAATTCCTCCGCGCCTGCGCCGTCAGGGCCCGGGACTGCGGGCCCCATGAATTATTTCTCTAAGAAACACAGTGGGCTCCGATTCTCTGGCTCCACTTCCTGACCTTCCCTCCCTCTAAATCAGCCCTGAAGGGTGGCTGCCCGGGCCTTCACCCCCAACGTCA